CAGTGTTTCCATCATCTGTGCTGCCAGAAGCTCTCGCTCGCAGCCTTTTCCACTTGTTTTGAACCTCTCAGTCCTTCCACGTGTGTCTGAATTATTTTGAGTCCTCTGAGCCGCATGTGTCTGCAACATTCAGACCATCAGCACTTTTAGAAAAATACGGGAAAAGAGAAAAAGAGACCAGCAAGAAAACAAGTCTGCATATTTTCTATATGTTTTTTTCTGTTCACAAAGGCTGCATTTATTTAATCAAAAATGCAGTAAAATTAAGAAATATTTTTATAATTAAAATAGCTGTTTTCTATGAGAATATCTGTTAAACTGTAATGTATTTCTGTGATGCGCAGCTGTATTTTCAGCATCATTACTCCAGTCTTCAGTGTCACATGATCTTCAGAAATCATTCTAATATGCTGATTTGCTGCTCAAGAAACATTTTTATTATCAATGTTGGAAACAGTTGTGCTGCACAATATTTTTGTGGAAACAGTGATACATTTAATTTTTTCAGGATTCACAGATGAATAGAAAGTTCAGCATTTATTTGAAATAGAATCTTTTGTGACATTAGAAATGTCTTTACTGACACTTTTGATTAATTTAATGCGTGCTTGATCTATATACAGTACATCAGAGCAGCGTCTTGTATTGAATGACGGATTGTAAATGTTCTTGATTTCCATCTGGATCTGTAGGCGTCGTCGTTCTTTCAGATGTCAGTGTTCTTAATGAGTGTATCACAGTTTTTCCCTCCTTTTTTTGCATGCGGTCGTCATGGTGACGGCTTTTCCATTCTGTGCGTCTGAAGTGTTTTGAGCATTCTGTCATTTTTGGCATTTCTCTGAGTACAATTCATGACATTTACTGTGTGGAGCGACAGCCTGATGGAGAGCCGCTTCTGCTTCAGGACTCAGACAGCGCTGAAACACATGATAATAACACGTGTGCGCTTTACCCTTCAACCCTGTTTAACCTGGCTCATGTTTTCCTCTGACTTGTGTGGGTTGTTGATGAGGGCGTCACACCACCTGTCCATATTTCATCTGTCTAATCTGAGAGAGTGAAGTTGTGCTGAATACTGTAGGGTTTGATTGGACACACGATCTTTGATAACTGCAACAAATGTCACAATGTTTTTTTTTTTTGCCTCTGTTATCTGTTTATTATGCTCTCCTTACAAGCTACTCACGTTCTATATGGTTCGTTGAGTTTGATTATTTACATTTAGCATTATATTTCCCTGCTTCTGTCATTTTTCAGGTTGTGAATTTATTTATTTAGCTACTATTTCTTTCTTTATTTATTTATTTGGTTGTTTATTTATTTTATTATATATAGTGGCTTAGTGGCACTAAAGTGGCATTAAATAAAAAAAACCTACGAATAACTAAATAATTTAAATAATAAATAATTATAAAAAATTCTGTGACCGTTTCAGTCATTTACACTTTTTTATTACCAATTAATTTTATTACATGACTTTAGTTGTTTTGTTATTTTTTTGTTTTACCTTTTCTTTTTCTTTTTTCACTCCAAATTAGCAATTTCTGCCTAATAAAATATTTTAGAGCTTGACATAATTTGAAGAATTAATACTCATAAAATTTCCATGATCTTTTAAAGGTTACAAATTTTAATGACTTTTCCAGGGCTTAAAAAAAACACAAGTGTAGATGTGTAGATTTAAAAAAAAAAAAAAAAAATATATATATATATATATTTTTTTTTTTTTTTTTTTCCCCCAAAAAAAAAAAAAAAAAAATATATATATATATATATTTTTTTTTTTTTTTTTTTGGGGGAAAAAAAAAAAAAAAAAAAAAAAAAAAAAGATTTTTAGCTGTTAAGCTGTAAGCTTGATTTGTCTTGATTTTAAGTCATTTTGAGGCCTGGTGTTTGAGAAATTCTGCTCTAGACTTCTAGCGTGCCGTTTCATCAGTCTGAGAGGAGAAAGTGTGTGTGTGTGTCAGGATCAGTGTGTCCTGCATCATTTAGGCTAATCAGTGTGTGTTACTCTACACTGCTGACACCTGATCACCTTCATCAATCTCTCTCTCTCTCTCTCTCTCTC